AAGATACTCGTCGCCGGCTGCGAAAATATGAGCCAGGTTTGAGCAGTGAAGTGTCGTTATCTAGCGACATTTTTTGTCATCAGGATATCTTTATATCTCTCAGCACAGGTTCCTTTCTACATGCCACGTGGAGAAATACCTTACGGAGGATTGCATATTATAGTAAGACTTCAACTTTTCTGCTTTTGACTGGTTTTGAAGTAATCTCAACCCATGTTCAGGATGGTATTGCAAGAGACGGACTGCAAGATTCTATGCTGAATTCTCCTATGGGTCTTTGTGCTGAGAAATCGGTGAAGGTGGGATGCCATTAAATATCTATGCAGCAGCTGCAATGTTTTGTCTATTTTTAAGTAAGTGCGTCATCTGTATTAGTAAATAGAAGAAAAGAGGCGAGGCAGACCGAAATTGATAAGTGCGAGTTCTGGCTCTTATCAATTTCGGTCTGCCTCGCCTGAAGGCCATGTGAGGGTAAGAACGGCCTTGGTGGCGTAAACGGATAGCGCACTCGCCCGGAAAGCGTAAGGTGCGGGTTCTGAACTCGTCTCGGATCTGACTTTTGCCCATGAACTCAGCATTCTTGTGAGCGCGAACTGCGGCGTTAACACATTGCAGACCGGTGTACTGCGCACATTTCCCGATCATTCCATCATTTTTTATCAGTTTCGTCAGAAATTTCCCACCTCTTCTCAATCGTTTATGAAGAGAAGGAACTTACGTAACCGGAAACAAGTTTTGACAACAGTAGCAACATGAAAGACAAGTCAAATTAATCGAATAAGACTTTGCATAGAGACAAATCGTGACACACCATGTGTGTCACGGTTCGGAACGTGTTGCAGAGCAATTGTTATACCAAAATAATTCAGGATTACAACATTAGTCGGTCGGCTCAAGACGAATTCGCCATACAAAGCTATAAGAGGGCTGAAACTGCATGGAAGGTGATTTTCCCTCTTTCCAACCAGTCATTACTCCCTATTTCTATTTGTAGCTCGTCTGAGTTGGGTTTACGGGTGAAGTTTTAGTGAAGTTGGTGGGGCAGTAATGTCATTTTTCATGTTTCAGAAAGGCCTGTTCTCTGAAGAAGTGATACCTGTATCGGTCAAGCCACAACGGGGAGCTGCCTTAGTAGTGTCCGAAGACGAGGAATACAAAAAGCTAGTGGAGTCAAAGGTTCCGAGAATATTTCTGAATCACTGTAGAAACTTGTTGTTCAAGCGTTTTCCAGGTCCCGAATCTCAATCCTGTTTTCGTCAAGGATGGTTCCGGAACAATCACTGCGGCTAACGCTTCCTCCCTGAATGATGGCGCGGTCGCCGCGGTGGTTGTTCGAGGTGATCAAGTTCCCGAAGGTTAGTGATTCATCTGTCGCCACATCACCCTTTGAATACCCTTGTTTTATGTAGGTGTTTCCCCTCTCGCGGAAGTGCTTTCTTTCGCAGAAGCTGGAGTAGAGCCTGTCGATTTCACCGTCGCTCCTGTGTGGGCTGTACGAAAGGTTCGTGTGGTTGAAGTCGTTTTGTCGATCCTATCCGGTTTGTAGTACGTCATGATTTTTTTAGCTTTTGGAACAAACGAACCTTTCTACCA